TTCTCTAATCATAGATGTTTAACTAATATAGCAGATGTTTCTCTGTGGCAAGACGCAATGTGTCTACGTGCGTCTGTGTAATATCCTCCTTTTTTTCGCCCTCTCCGTCTTCTCCCTGTTACCTTGGCTGCAGATGAAGGGGATTGGCTCTCTGGCACATTAATCCCATGAACAACACAGAGACGTTAACAGGCACAGCCATCTTCTCAGGCGACTGAAGAACCTTGGCACGTCTCTAACATGAAATAAAGACATCAGAGCAGCGTAGTTAGTTTCTGTCCCTGTTGAGAGAACACTCTGTGATGCCAGGCCTGGCTCGCAGACCGCACTTCTTACTGGAGATGTAAACAAACAGCGCTGGCTGGCCCGAGCCGGCCACCTGATGCTGAGGAGGGCACATCATGAGCCAGATGTGAGACTTATGGGAGATGAGTTGCGGTTAAAACTGCCTCAAGCTTAGGCAGCTCGTAGTAAAGTTCCATCAATCAATCAAATTCAACTGAGTAGCACAAATTATACATTCTCTTAGGGGGCTTTACGGTGTTTACAGCATAAGACACCCTCTTTCCTTCCTTACATGGAAAACTCCCAAAGAAACCCCACAATTAACAGGGGAAAACAAATGACAGATCAACTAGACTAGACTTGAATAAACTGGAAAAGTAATAAAATAAGGTACAAATGAACAAAAACATCACGGTTACATTTTTTAATATACCCAAAAATGCTGTCAATGGACATTGTTGACCATCAGTGGAACACAGGCAGCCTCAAATACAATTTAAAAAAGATTATGGTTAGGGTGTGATACAGCTTTACAGGGTTGTATGTATTGAAGGCAATGGAAAATCTTGCTTATTTTGGGCAAAATTGGCAATTTGGAAATGTGCCTTCCCATGTGCATTTTTTTTTACTTCATTTATTTCTTATGTATTGTATTCTATAAAATGTAATCTAATATAAAGGAATTATATGAGGAAAAAATGCAGACAAACTCAGTTAAAAGATAAGATGATACATTTAAACTTGACATTTCCCAGTTTTTGTACCTAGAACTGAATACATGTAAAAGAAGCCCTGATGGGATTTGAAGTAAGAGTGTGTCTGTGGGTGCAGAGCTGCTGGTGTGTGACCTCACGGTGCCTCAGGTGTGTTTATGTTTGTGGCAGCTCAATTACCTGCTGCTACTCCTCTCCTGCCTTTTATTCAAATTATTGCACAGCGTGACAAAACACAGCAACACTTAACCCGTGTTTCATTGCACCCTCTGCCAAAAAAAAGTGTTGTTTGTGAGTTTCTCAGGGATGATGTCTTCCCTGTAAACCTCTGTAAACCACAGGCATTTCCGACTCTGCGATTGTGAGTTGTTAATGTTTACTCCAATGCCAAATAGTGTTGATTCACATGTGTCAAGTGGCACCTCCCGAGGATGGGTGTTTACCTAACCACAGACATTTGTGTTTGAGTTTCAGACCTGGAGATGTTGAAACCCTCGTGCTGGCACTTCCTTTTAGCTTGTCTTGTTAGCGTAGCAGCTTGTCATTGCACCGTTAAAGGTTAAATATAGTGTCTTCTGTTAATCATGTAATCAGATCTCTCCGGCCTCTTCTGGGTCTGTGGCTCACTACTAATACTGAGAAATAATAAAACCACAGCAGCAGACATTCGCAGAAATTATTATGGTATTTTCTCAAACTGGGCTGTGTGTGTGTGTGTGTGTGTGTGTGTGTGTGTGTGTGTGTGTGTGTGTGTGTGTGTGTGTGTGTGTGTGTGTGTGTGTGTGTGTGTGTGTGTGTGTGTGTGTGTGTGTGTGTGTGTGACCACATTGGGCTTCCCTGCGTTTATTACCGCGATTAGAGGATGTTTGGGCTCATTGCAGCGTGCAACTTTTGAACCCCAGGTAAAGCAAATTCCCACATGTCAAAGATTCCGTTTTTTCTTTTTTTTTATTCCAATGTGACCGCACCCGATTTAGGCCCACGCACGTACCACAATTACCGTTCTGATGAAACAGGGGAACGGCTGCTGCTCCAGAGCTGGAAGCCAGATCAAAGGGAACATGATAATTTTTTTATTTGACCTCTTTCTGACCGTCAGCACTACGGCCACCACCGGCGGTTCTGTAGGGCAATGTTGTTAACTCTCAGCTGCACAAACACGCACACTGTATGCACACTCACAGTCAGTGTACGTGCAGCTTTTAACTTCTGCAGCAGGCATGGGACCATCCTGGCCAAAATAATTGCTTTGCACTGTATTATCCAGATCATTTTAGAAAATTGCCTTAAACTTTCAAACATACTTGTTTTTTTTATTGCATCACAGAGAGTACATGCATCTTGTTTAAGTGAACATTATTTTAAGTGATCAAATAATCTTAAAAAAGTAGTCAATAATTAGGAAGGTCCCTGCATTAATAGCAACATTTTGTTAGTCTGTTTTTTACTCCTATCAGGATATTCACTTTCAGTATCCCAAGTCTAAATCTACCAAAAATCTACTCAAATAATTGAATCACTATTCATTCCTGCATTATCTAGGGGTCAGGTAAACAATTGACACAGCATAGTATAACAGTATTTTGTGATATCGATTGTTTTATATTTAATATTGAAAATACTATTTAAACGTTTTGGTTGCACTCGCTATTTCAGTCCACTTGATGGGGCTGAGTGAGGTTATGGGTAATATCAGCTTAAAGGTGGTCAAAAAATAGCAGAATGAAACTAAACGCTGCATGATATAAATGCAGTTAAAGGATACAAAGCAATACATTGCAATATATATTATCACAAAATGTTTAAAGTGGCAGTAGGGTTGTATTGGGCTTGATTATGGCAATAACATGGTATTGTGAGGGCCTCTGATGGTTCACCCATGAAAGCATCCCTTATATACTGTGTACATTGAGTGTGTGGGTGTGTGTGGGTGTACTTGTGTTGTCCGCAGATGCCAGACGCTTGACAGCATGTGATGAAGTATTAATGGAAAGACTGCTTTTTGTTTTTAAACTTTCTTCTAGTGATGCTGGAAAAAAAGTATTTCTGGATTGTTTTAGGGCGCACACACACACACACACAGACACACACACACACACACACACACACACACACACACACACACACATACTGAAAAGACATTCACACCACAAGTGCTATTTTGGGGTGTTAGAGTGACAATATGCAAATTCACTTTCCCTGTTAGGCTTTGATTGAGAGAAACTTAATTATAGTAAAAATGAAGGAGTAATTATAGACCTCAGCCTTCTTTAACCAAAATATGTATTGCACTGTTATGAAAAAAGATTCACAGACCAAGCAATACCCAATGGAACTTTTTATAGAGCATTTCATTCACAATGATAATACAGGGTTCCCGCGGGGTCTTAAAAAGTCTTACATTTGATAATCTGATTACATTTAAGGCCTTAAAACGGTCTTAAATACGACAAAAAAAAAAATGAGAAAAGTCTTAAATATGATTTATTTTCTTGCTGTGAAATAGGTCTTAAATTCTATTCAAAGTGGTCTTAAAAAGTCTTAAATTTGAGTTGGCGAAACCTGCAGGAACCCTGTAATAAGCTAAACAGCATATATTTCATAATGAATAGATGCCTCTAATAGTTAGGTTTGCGAGATCAATTATACTGTAGACATAATGCAGATATATAAAATGGGAAACACTGTTAAGCTTGAAGCTGAAAACATGAGCCAATACACTAAACAGATAGTTTAAAATATATGTTTAACAAACACGTTTTCTTTATTTGAAAAAGTGCAGTGATCATAAAGTAACATTCAGAACCTAAGACTAATTAAAGACCCTAAAAACGACCTTACCTAACCCTAATGGTCCAATTGAGCGCAACTGGTTAGAAACAGGTGGTTGTAAATTCACCTGATTTGCCATTGTACTTGTTTGGAATATCGTTCTGTTAAAATAGTATATAAGTATTAAAATCCCTCACTGTGAAATGACACATGGAAACTAAGATGTCCATCAGCATTTGAGTCTATAACACATTTTCCTTTCACTCAGTCAAATCATCCTGCATTATTTCTTGTTGCTTTACGCTCCAACATTAGAAAAGGGTTCAGATCAGGCAGCAGATGTGTGCTGTGGCCTTCAGCTCCATGCTTCCACTCTTCAGTCCGAGTGTGGCTCCCACAGTCAGGTGGAGCAGTGGGAGGAGGAGCTGCACTTTGGTCTGTGTGAGGCCTGGGGCTCAGTGCAGGAGCGCCACCTAGTGCTCGAGTTAGGACCTTAAATAAAGTGCTATGGTGTTAATGGGAGATACAACAGGTGAACAGCGTTAGACATCTTCACACCATGAAACTCCCCCGATGAATTACTTCAATGATTTCCTTTTTGTACTACAGGTTTTCTGAAATATTATGATTACATATGCAAATCAGGCATTATCTCGTCATCATCCTCTTCCGGAACAGAAATCTGAACATTGGTTAAAGCCTTGTTCAAAATGATTGGGAATATGGGGGATCTATCTTCTGGTATGAGAAGAAAAACTAATTTGATAAATATGATAAAACAGCCTTTAAATGTATGAATATGCCAATATGTTCTATTCCATACATTTTGCAAGACACTACAGGTGAAATTGAAAACTTCCGCAATAGTTTATTTCACACCACAAATGTTTTTGTATGTTTTCTGAAATATTTGAATCTGCAAAAGGGGAATTTTTAGTACATTAAGGAGAAATCTACAGACACAAATAGACACCTAAATGTTTATTTTTGATGTTTTCTTTACACTGTTCAGAAACAAGACAGGGAAGCAGAATAACCCAAAACCCCAGAAATGACCAGTGAATTCAATGTGTATCATCATAATGAGTGTTCTGTTCTGTAGCACAGGTTACAAGCTTTCCTAATGAATAAGTCTCCATTATTCACGTCACATGACTTTATGCATCTCCCAAAGATGTCCTCCTCTTTATGTTTTGTTTATAACTGTCTCCTCTGTGCTCTCTCCTTCAGGCTCGTATGGCATTGGACAAAGGAGCTCAGGCCGTGATCTTTGATGTCAGTGATGATGCCAATGCTGCTTTTGAGGTGAGTGTACAGCCACTAGTGTACTAATCTTTAAAGTGTGTGAGAGGATAAAACACACTCACGTGTCTGTGTCCTTTACCTTCCTATTCACTAACGCACAGCTGGGAGGGATAGACTTCGTTCGCGGCCCTGTAGTACTGGTGGAGGCACAGAATGCTGAGGAGTTGATGGGTTTGGTCAACAAGAACGAAGAGGCCAAAGTTACTATTGAGCTCCTGGTGGAGCTGCCCAGTTGGGTAAGCCCTGAAACAATGACTCACATCTTTCTGACATTCCTTTCATTAACTAGGGGGGGGGGGGGAAGAGGATCTCTACGCTATCTCACAAAATAACTTTCTCTGCGCTCCATTAGAGTAGGTACAGATATGATTTTGGATTAAATGTAAAATATTAGACACAAATAATGACAATCTATTTGTGACACATATAATTACAGGATGGGATTGGATGTTTGAATATATATTTTTGAATATTCAAAAAGTTGTACTCAGTCTTTTTTATATGTTTATTAATGTAGCTGAAGAGTTGGATTATTTCAAAGCACCATCAGATGCTGAGTCATGTTCAATATGGTCATTCAAAATCTTGGATATGATGAAAATAAATTGTTTAATCAAACATTTCTTCACTTCAAATATGGATTTATTATTGCAAGTTGTTTATGTGAATTAAGTTGAGGTTTCCCATTAAAATAATTTGATTTATTTCCATTTTCTCCTCCCTTTACAGCAACATTACGATGTTGGTATCCTGCTCACCATTGTCCTAGCTATTCTGACCATCGTTCTAATCTTCGCTTTCCGCTACAAGTGCAAGTCCAACCGGACCTGGGTGAGTGACAGCAGTGACATTTGTAAAAGTGAAAAGCTCACCAAAAACAAGCTGTCAGTCTTCATTGTGGATCCATTTGAAAGGATTTTCTAACCCTCTCTTCTTGTGTGTGCAGGACTCAGTCCATCAGCAGACCATGCGGGCCATCAGTCGCCTGGAGACCAAGACGTACAGCTCTCAGGGCTGCTCGGGGGCCCATCGGCACCGCGCAGCCTGGGGCTCGGCCAGCAGCTCCAACTCCAGCCCAGTCTGTGCCATCTGCCTGGACGATTTCCTGGACGGGCAGGTGAGAGGAGATAGAGCAACAAATAATGTTTCTGTACATTTAGCTGTCAGCTATTTATCCTCAAATCTTCCTCTGCCCCTCTTTTATCGCAGCATCTGAGGATCATCTCCTGCGCTCACGAGTTCCACAAAGAGTGTGTCGACCCCTGGCTGCTGCAGCACCGCACCTGTCCCCTCTGCATGCATAACATCATGGGTGAGGAAACATATATTACCAGTCAAGTTGTGGTAAAGATGGTGATGATTAGACTAGGAATTTACACTGTATTAAGATAGTAGCCCTGAGAGGTAAGAGATCTGCTGATCTGGTGATCTACGTACAATCTGAAATGTTCACTTAAAGTTTTCTCTCCTGTATTTGTGATGTATGGACAGGTGAAACAAATGCTTTTGTTCCATCTTTTAGTTCATTGGGGAAAACATTTTTGGCATAGGAATTTGATGTAACGTACAATATATGTACCTTGTGTCTAAAGAGCATTGGGGGGATTCAAATTTAACGTGGAATAAAAAACAATGCCTTTAGTTCTATTTACAATATGGTGTTGGTGCCTCTTGTGGCCTAACTGAGTATTAATAACAAAAAATGTAACCTGACTATTTTATCTGTTTTCTTAGATACTGACCAAGTTGAAACATGACACATCACCAGAGAGAAGTTATGTAGATCAGACTTGGATGGATCACATTTATATTTTTTCAGCCATTTCTCTGAATTCTTAACCCCTGTTTAATCTGCAGTGAGACGTGTTGTATAATCAGTAGTTCCTCGTACCCTGTTCTGTGTATTCTGACTGCTGCTGGTCTCCACAGGGATGGAGCGGCAGCCCCAGAGGGCCAGCAGACAGAGTCAGGAGCAGAACCAGAGCTTCCTGCACCCTCAGCCCTTCAGCAGCCCACACAGCCACCTCTTCCCCCAGCACGCCATCCCGTTCTCTATGAGGCCCCACTATCCCCGGGGACCCTCAGGACCGTACCCCTCTCTGGGCCACTACTCTGGCTCTTCTCCCGTAGACGCTCAGACACTACGCTTCCTCACCAGCAGGCAGCTCGCCTCCAGCTGTGGGTACCACCGTCCTGTGGAGGGTCCCGGGAGGCCCCATAGGATGAGTGGTAACTGCAGGACTTCCACTCACCACTACACCCCCCGTCGGCCCTGCCACAACAACTACCGCTCAGCCTGCCCTGCCCAGCGCAGTGCATCTAGCTCCAGACTGCAGCACGCCTCCTCCACGCCACAGCCCCGCGGAGCGCCCCCCCACACCCGGCAGGACGACGGCAGCTGCTCGGGGGGGAGCTACCACACAGAACGCAGTGGGTACTTGGCTGATGGGCCAGCAAGTGACTCCAGTTCGGGGCCATGTCATGGCTCCTCCAGCGACTCCGTCCTGAACTGTACTGACGTATCCCTGCAGGGGGTCTATGGCAGCTGGTCCACCTTCCGGAGCTCCCTGAGCAGTGACTACGATCCGTTTGTGTATTACGGGCCAGGTCCTGGGCACGGGCCCCGCAGGAGCAGCCTAGAGGAAGGGGCCCAGGCCCGGCCCAGGTCTCTGGATTCTGTTGTGAACAAAGCAGGCTGCCCCGAGGAGCAGCAGCAGACTGTGTTCAGCCACATCCACTACCACCGCCACAGACACCACCACTATGAAGAGGGGGAGCACAGCAGGGGCTCGGACGAGGAGCAGGGGGCCGCTGCTGCTGATGCAGCTGCTTCTGCTGCTCCTCTCCTGGACAAAGACTCGCCCATGTGCCCCCCTAAGCACAGCCCCTGCCAGTGCCCGAAGCCAGAGCCCACAGACCGGCCCAGTCCGGGGGCCGAGTGTCAGGACCCTAGCAGCCCTCCTCCAGTCCTGGTGTCCCCAATCCCCTTACAGCTTCAGCCCCACTGCTGCCACCAGGGACACGGACACCCTCCCGCTCCACTTGGGCGAGTGGGGGGCTACGTGCACGACGGCCCCTCTGTTCGCTTCCACCAGAGCCGGGATCTGCAGGACGACCGCAGCATCCACATCCACTATGGTCAGGGGCCCGGCTTCTGCTGCTCCCCCCCTGAGCTGCACCCCGCCCTGCTCCCCGTGCCCCTCATTCTGGACTCTGGGGGTATTGAGGAGTGGCCCTGCTATACCGGAGCCCATGTTGTGTGGCAAAAGCGGGTGCAGCAGGCCCGCTCAGAGCCTCAGCTCTTGGGGCCCGGGGCCCCTATGGACAGGCCCCCCTGCAGGTTCTACCACGGTCCAGCTGCTGACTGTAACACAGACATTTGTTTGTACTGCCAAACCTTACACCACAATCAGGGTGGGTGACTCACTTGTTTATCTTTAATAACATGTCCAGCCTTTAGGACTTTATGGAAAATTTACCACCAAAGAATTACTCATGCCTCCATGGTTAATTAAGAATCCAAACATGTTGAAAAGTCTTGCTGAATTGAGAAGAAGCATACAAGTGTAAGCAATAGTAAAGACTTTGGGGTGGAAATCATCTTTCTCTTTTTCAACATAGAAGACAAACAGAACAGCCAACAAGAAATAATAAAGAAAAAACATAGCAAGACAGGAATACCATACTTAATAACATAGACAGTCATAGTGGGAAAGAAAATGCAAAATAGTATATATATAATAGAAATAAATAAATAAACTCAAAGGGTGCAAATGAGCCCAGACTATCCCCCCACCCTTCCTCCCCGAGCAGTGCCACCCAAGCCATTAAAAAACGATTGTTTGTGCAATGCATCTCAGCCGACCGTCCCCTTATAAATGAAACCATTGGACCCCACATCCTTTCATATTCCCCCAGTCTATATTTTAGGATATATCGAATTATTTCCAAATGCAGAGTATCAATCAATGTCGTTATCCTAGCTTTAAATCTTGGCACATCCTTTGATTTCCATAATAGGAGAATTGATTCTTTGCACACAGGAGACCATAGGACAGGAGATGAAGTTGTGCATTTTGAAGTGTGTTACATTGTTCAGATGTGCCCAGTAAAACATCCCTATTTAAAACTCTGCCATATAAACAGTATGCAACAGCGTTATCCTTAGCTGTTTATTTAAAAAAAAAAATTATGTATTTTTTCAAATTATATTTTGAAGATGACTTGAGCTGTTTTTGTGCCCACAGGATCAGAAGAGGAGTCCGGTGTGTGAGAACTTGTTGCATCCCCGATAATCAAGCTGCTACCCAGGAGCCAGAATGGACAGGCCTCTCATTGGCTATCGCTCTCACGTCTTCCACATTGTTCCACCAGCAATTCCCCCCAGGATTCAGAACTCACACTGAAATGCTCTTTCGCCTGAGTTGGATTGAAATTATTATAATTGAATCATGCTAAAGCTTAAACAAATACTTTTTTAAGTGAAGACCCTTCATAATGTTGAAAATACATTGAATTATTAAAATGTTTGGGAGCTGCTGGAGAAACTACTCATACACCACAAAGAGGCAACAAGGTTTTTCTGCATTTCTCCTCTTCAGATATATAGGAATAATATTCATTTTGGATATGATATCACAAGTTCCCATGCTCCTTAGCAATGAATTATCCTTGCTTAGGGTGTTGAGCCCTCATGAAGTGAGACTCCATCTCTGCGTCGCTCACTCTAAAGCAAAAATAACTTGATTTATCTTCGAGGTACTATCTTTCACTCTCGTGATCTGCGTCTTCCTTCGCTGAGTCCAGTCTCAGCTGAGAGAAGCTTTTCTCTCCAGCCTACCTCAGCTCAGATTTCTTAACATGCCTCACACAGGGGGGTCTTTTAAGGTACTGCTGTAGTGATTATTTTTTATGTCACAACCAAGTAGCTCCCACAAACTCAACAAAAAGTGTTCCTCTTAGCAGTCCGACCTGTCCAAAATGGAGAGGAAGGTTGATGCTCAGCCCCTCACACAGCGAGCGTTCAATGGGGTAGCTGAGCCTTGCATGGGCCCTTTTTCATTATTTCAATAATGGCAGCTGTTTTGTTTGTGTTTTGGATAATTTTCTGTATTTTTTTTTGTAGTATGTAATTATTATTTTTTTATCCTCTCAAAATGAACCGGTTTGACTGAATTATCCCGTCGTCATTACAAGCTAGTGTAAACTTGTTCTCGTCATTTCTCTTGCCATTGGTGTCTTCACATGTTGGTGCTGTTAAACCTCCCGATCAGTGAAAAGTGTACAGGCCATAATACAACCATATCCTCTGCTGCTTTAACAGCTAATTCATCGCTATGTTGTGTTATTCTCCAAAAAGGGTGTTCCCTCCCTTTGTCTTCCAGGAACTAAAGCTCAAGGAAAATGTTCTACATTGCCGCTATAGACCAGAAAAAGTGATTATGTCATGATATAACCAGAGTAAAGCCATGTAACCGAACAGTCCCGAAACACGCTTAAGCTCTGCAAGCTTCCCCAGTGACTTTCACCCTGACCCTAGAACAGACATTCTAAGTTGTTTTATCTCCTGTGTTTATGATTTAGGGTGAATCTATAAGGATACATAATGATCAGGATAAGCAGTTCTTGTTATCAAAATGAGTATTACAATAGCAAACGAGTAACAAAAGAATCACCTAAAATTATACTGGCAAATGTTACATTTTATTTTCTCACCTATATCACAGATTAAACTTTGTTTTTTCCAGTTTATACTAACTGTGACAAACATTGTATCAAATCCTGGTTATAATACACATTTTCTTCGGAATAACTTTCCAAGAACTGTTCAAAACGCAATTATAAAATCATGAACTGAAAATCTGATACTGCCCTGACAAAAAAGATATCCTGGAAAAACCTTCTTTGTCATCTGTTCTTAAGTCATAAACACAGGAAATTCACCATTTCAGATCAGAAAAAATGCATTACAAGAATTGTTTTTCTCATTTGCCTCTCAGGGCTTCTTAGGTAATGATACCCCAATCGGTAAAAGGTCCTGTGTTGTTGTACATTTGCATTGTTCTAAATTAGATTCAGTATTTACATTTTTTTAATTAAGATGAAATATTTACGCCATCCTTTAAAAATAAAAATCTAAATATCCATTACAGTATCTTCTCACTCCACCTATTTAGCCCCTCTGGCAGACAGAACATGTGTCCAGGAAAAATTACTTAAATTGTGTGGATAGTAGTCAGAGATGGCTTTATTTGTTTATCTTTAACACAGACTCCTCTGCTAGGCTAAATTATCACACATTAGAGGAATTAGAATGCTATAATAGTGTGGACTTTCCCTTAAAGGCTAAGTGAAATGTGAATGGCTTTACTCAGCAGCAGTCAGATACAGTTTAACAGCAGACACAGAGCTCATGGGTATTGCAATGTAACCAGTAGCACTTAATAAAAAGCCTTATATGTGCCTTATTCATAAAGAAACTGTTCATAATCCTCATTCAGGACCCCCCCCCCTACACACACACACACACACACACACACACACACACACACACACACACACACACACACACACACACACACACACACTCACTAAGCTCTTACCTGTCCAACCAAAGAGGCAACATCTTGAACACAGTGAACTTATAACTCAGTATGTGTTGGCAACCCTTTCCTTAAATATAAGAACAAAATGTGCTTTTGTGATGAACACCTGACAGAATTGAGGTGGAAATCATTTTGGAATCAATATTTTGGACAATCATGCAGATTTTTTAACTGCAGTCATTTGTTCTTAAACCCCACTTTGAATGTGTCAACGCAGCGTCCTCCAGACAAAGTGTCCTTATCTGTTATTATTGGTGCCTAAACAGCCTCTGTCTGAGATGGAAATTACTGAATTACAAGCAACACTTACAGGCTTGGGCAGATTTGATCATTAACATCCCCAAACTGTAAGCACATGAAAAATGATGCCACATAATATCTGATCTAATTTCATCCTGTTCAAGATCTTTCTCTTTGTGTGGTTTATTTTTTATTTTTTTAATATTTTTGCAAGAGTAAGAGCTGAGACTGCCTTTTCTATGAGTAAAAGAAATCCCTCCAGAACGTTAAGGGATATGTCAGTATATTTTGGATACTTTGTGTACAAAAAGAGAACAAACAAAAAAACAGAAATGAAATAGTGTTGTATTTTATATATAATAGAACATTTCAATATAGTGACATGTCACTAATATATTTATTTACTAATATATTTATCCATTTTGTCCAGGTTTGAAAGAGTGGTTTCTGTATAGACTGAATGTTTCTATATGGAAACTGAGCAGTGCCATCACAGATGTATCAACCTGTCTTCATTCCAATTATATGCAAATAAATTATTTTGAAATAAAACCTCTGTGCTGAGGATTGTTTTTATTCTTTTAATTCCCAAACTGTTAGATGAGCTGGGTTTGTGTTCAATGACATATATTTGACCCAAACGTGTTTAAAAATAGATGTCTAGAGCTAAATAACTTATTTTTTGTTCACACTGATGTACAATTTAACTCCTCAAGGACAACCTATTAAAGAAGGGGAAGAATCATTGGTAGAACTATTTAATCCTTATTAACTGCAAGAATTGTACGATAAATGGAAAAAACAGAATGTCAAGCAAACAAATGTGTGTTACAAAAATGCTTACATTCCATAAAGAGCTTCACCCTGAAGAAAACCATGCTAAATAAAGCCTAATACTTACAGAATACAAAATTATTTTTGCTTAAAATCCAAAAGTGGTTAATTTACACATGTAATAAAAAATATGTATTATTTGAGTGCTGTCTCCCCCGTAGCTATGTCCCGCACTTTCGGCAGGGAAACGCGTGCGTGAGATGACGCAAAAGCTCTGTCGAAACCATAGACTATATATATAAAGGTCGAAACTCGCAACTCGTTGTTTGCTGTCTGTAAAGTCCCTAATACACCAAATTAAGGAATATCAACCATTGGATTTTGTTCAAATAGGCAATTTTCGAACTATTGAGGTACAGGCATAGACCGTATAGGTAGGCTACTGTATAGTCAGCAGCAAGTCCTCAAAAAAGGCTTTAGTTTTCGAGATACCCCTACCCGAGGTATACAAAACACAACAATGATTTTTCTTATCTTTAGGGTCTCCCATTAATGAAATTGATTGTTGTCAAATTTTATTTTGGGGGAAAAAATGTTTTTTGGTTGTTCTTTAGAACAATTTGGCTGAAAAAGAGCCAAATTAGACCAGGCCGAAAATGGAAAAGGTGACAAAAAAGCCCATAACTTGAGAATGATCAATCTTTTCCTCTTCAGATTTGCTGAGGTATGAACCAGATGGCTGCCCTACATCACCAAATAGTCAGACAATTATTTACCTAAAAGAATACTGAATTATAGTCCTGTAAACTTAGCTTTAGTTTAGACGGAAATTGTACTTTTTGGTGATGGGAACATAGGACTTTATCACTTTTCTCTCATTTATCAGAAAAACAGAAATCCCTAAAAAAGATACCATTACTGAATTGTCTAGGGTGCTATTGAACACTAACCAGTAGTTGTATGGAAATATCTGGTACAGTTCTATTGCAAATTAGATTTCTTTAGACATAGGCCTACCTCTTCTCTGATACAGTCAAATTCCGAATGGGGGATAAGTGGCACAATAGCCTATAAGTTAAGAATGCTCACTCTGATGGTCATTATATTTGGAGAGGGAAATACCAGGTGGCTGAACTAGATCACCAACTAGTCAGAATAAGAGTAACCCAATAAAATAAAGTGTATTAGTTCTAAATTGCAAGCCTCTAAAGTAAATAGTACAGGTTTTATTGAAACTGGAACCTAATTCAAAGTACAGTATACAAATCATCAAATAATTATGTGAGAGGTCAAGTGTATAGCTAGAATAGAATGTTAAATGTCAGGTTCCTCAGAAACGGGGACACATGTTGACATTCTGCACAGCAGGTGCAGGGGAAGTACAGGGAAGGCCAACTGAGAGGCACTGGCACTTTCCAATCTCTCCACACTTTGCATCTTTGCAANCTCCGTACAGGGAAGGCCAACAGAGAGGCACTGGCACTTTCCACTCTCTCCACACTTTGCATCTTTGCAATACAAGTGAGTAATGTCTCTCACTTCTGTAGGTGCTGGGGGTTTGTAAATAGCACCGGTTGAATGACCCATCTCTGACAATCCACCCCCCTGCCAACAGGGCTCCAAAACAATGGTTTGGTTTCGGGCTGTGACACCATATCGCTGTCTGAAACATTGCTCTTTGTACATGTTGAAATGCATCCTCTGTTGGCGGCAGATTTTCCGAGGCTGCATCTGTTGTTGATGCAATTAGGAACCTCAATTCATCCAAGTTTGTGCACATCAGTCCAATTTCCTTTTTCTCTTTTCCATATTGTCAGGATTCTCATGTTTTGTCACGTTTGTAGTTTTGTATGTCTGGTTATGGGTGTTTTCCTCCGTGTATATTGTCTGGTCTTTCTTCCTGTGCTTTTCCCGTCGTTAGTTTCCCTGGTGTGTCTAATTGTCTGATTGTGTTCACCTGTCGCCCTTGTGTTTCTCCTCCCCTGCCCGGCTGTTTCTCATCTTATGATTACCCCTCCCTGTATTTAGTCTTGTCTCCTTCTGTGTTCAGTGTTGGTGCTTCTTTTGTTCGTGACTTAGTTCACCGTTGAGTGTTTTGTTTGTTCCAGGTTTACTCAAGACCTTGAAATAAATGTATTATCAAATGTTGTCTGCGTTTGGGTCCTACCTGCTTCACTCTGCGTATCAGAAAGCACCAACCAAGAAATGGGCCCAGCAGATCCGTTCGAGCTCGAGTTATTGAGTTTTTCCTTTTTTTTGGCTAATTGCTCGGATCGATTGGAAGAGAGCACCCGGAGTTCAGCAGCGAGAGGCTGTGTTATCAGAGGCGCGCCAGATGGCTAGAGAGAAACCAGGTTTGGTGAAGTTCTTACCTGGCTGGATTTCAAAGATCCTCCCGGTGTGTGATTGGCTGTTCAGCCGACGCCAGCTCCCAGAGTCCTGTCGGCGTACCGGCCGACTCCAGCACCTCGTCTCCTGTTGGCTCTCCAGCCGACTCCAGCCCCCCGTATTCTGTTGGCGAACCAACCTTCTCAAGTCCCCTCTCAAGCCACATCTCCAGTTCCCTCTCAAGTCTCCTCTCCAGTTCCCTCTCAAGTCTCCTCTCGAGCTACCTCTCGAATCCCCTTTCAAGATCCCTCTCAAGTCATCTCTCAAGTCAACTTTCAAGTCTCCTCTCGAGTCTCCGTTCAAGTTCCCTCTCGAGATCCCTCTCAAGTCTCCTCTCAAGTCCCTGCTCAAGTCCCCTCTCCAGTCTCCTCTCAAGTTCCTACCCGTGTCCCCTCTCAAGTATCCTCTCGAGTTCCCTCTCGAGTCTCCTCTCGAGTCCCCTCTCAAGTCTCCTCTCGAGTCCCCTCTCAAGTATCCTCTCGAGTCCCCTCTCGAGTCTCCTCTCAAGTCCCCGCTCAAGTATCCTCTCGAGTCCCCTCTCGAGTCTCCTCTCAAGTCCCCTCTCGAGTTTCCTCTCAAGTTCCCTCTCAAGCCCTCTCTCAAGTTCCCTCTCAAGTTTCCTCT